AACTCCGTATCCAAGAAATACCCTTTCTACGCCAAACGTCTCAATTCTCGATATGATGTGGAGCGGGCACGACGCACAGTGGACCGGGTCAATTAGAGAAGTTTTATGTTTATTTTGGCACATTTTAAATTCTAAGTGATGCTCTCAACAGAAAATTTCACAAGGAAACCAATGGGACCACTTTTAGGGACCACTTATGGGACTACTCAAAGTTTTGAATAAACAGAGTTATAAGCTTTTAAAGTTTCCAAATTTTGTCCGACCTCTCCTATTCTGCCGTGCTAAGGAAAAACGCCGCGTGAGCCTTCAGACGTTGCCAAGTTTCCTTTGATAAAAACCGAATTTACTGGAGAAATTGCGAATATTTTTTTCCCAAAATTTTCAGAAAATTTTGTTCGCAATTCAATCTAAAACATCTGAACATTTCAAAGAAAAATATGCATGAATGTTGTCAAAAATACACGTTTTATCGAGGGAAATTCGGCAACTCTCGAATGTTCATACGGCGTTCTTCCTCAGCACGGCAGTATCGGCTCGATCCACCTAGAGTCCCTTTATACGGAGAGTCAAGACAATGTGAATCCATTTCTGATTGGTTCCCGTATTTTAGGCCTTCACAGTGTCACAAACGGGAGTAAAGATTACATTTTTACCGATTGCAAAGATTATAATCTGGAATGGACCAGGGAATTACGGGTTCGGCAAGGAACAAACGGAATGAGAGGAGGAACGGAGAAAGGAATTTAAGAATGGGCCGATCAAAGATTACAAAGAACGTTCAATTCCTGTAATCTTTATTCCCGTTTGCGACTCCATGAGGGGTGTTGTCTTGACTCTCAGTATAAAGGGACTCTAGATCCACCGTGCGACGGGGCAGCGAAAGGACGCGCCGGGATTTCGCCTCCGCCTGGATCCGATTCCAGATCGGCGTGAACTTGGGATCGGATTTTCGGATCGATAATCGGTCCCAAGGCTGGGCGGCGTCCGAGCGCGGCGCGGCGCGGGTACTTTCTCGCGGGGGAAAAGAAAGTGTGAAACATTTGAGCAGGGGCATTGTTGATTGTCGGTGGCCGTCGTTTTTATTGACAAGGCCGTTGCTCGGTGCTGCTTCGGCGGTTCGCTGGGTGCCCGCCGTTCGGTGCTCGACCGGCCATCGGCTCGCTCCGGGTGAAACCGATCGCGGACGGTGGCCAGGCGTGACTCAACTATCGATATTTCCCCATTCGAAGCCATGGTAAAGAATCGATTATTGAAGTATTCGTTGAAACACTCTAAAAATCGATAAGTTTTCCAAGGGTTTAAATGGTAGATCGATCGATTCATCGCAGAGCACGATCGCGGATCCTGCGCACTCATTTCGTCGCCCTCGCTGGCCGATTCGTCGAAATCCAACCGGTCACTGCAGTCTTCTGTTCCGGACTGCGGACTGATTATTGACTTTGTTAGATGCAGTGATAGACGAAGGAGACAAAATGAAAATGGAGGGAATCCTTTATTGGTGAAGAAGGGTGGTTGCAATGGACAAAGATAATGGACTGATTAACGGCAACCGACGAGAGACTCTCCAGTCAGTCCATCATTTTCCTCTTGGTCTGCGCGATACCAGAGGCGTGGCGTGAATGATCGATTTATCGATATTTCTCCATTTGAACCTAGAGTAAAGAATCGATAATCAAGGTTTTCGCTACGAACACCGTGATAATCGATCTTTTTCTATAGATTTAAATGGCAGGTCAATCAATATATCGCAAAGCACGCCACGCCACTGCGAGATACCCGTTTCATTCGTTGGGATCGCCCGATTTTCGCTTTATCTTCTTTACATTTCAAAGATAAGGGGTCGTTTTCATAAGCATATTTCAGCGCAGTGTGGTGTGCAAAAGTTGCCTCAACAATTCATAACTGCACTGAAAAATCGGCAGTCAATCCGTGGCGCGACGTGAATGATTGCTTATCGATATTTCCCCATTTGAAGTTATGGTAAAGAATCGATTATAAAGAAGTTTGTTGTGAACACCCTTTATCCATCCTTTATATCAGGTTTAAAAGGCAGATCAATCGATATATCGCAAAGCACGCCACGCCACTGGTCAATGACCGCAAGCTTTCATGTATACCGAGAGACTAAAACGCATGGGTAGAAAAAACAACATCATTTGCTTTATCGTTATATTTGTTTTTTGCAAATTCAATTTCGCGCTTCACGGCCGGCGGTAAGGGTCAACTTTGCTCCTCACGAGCATTTCATACGTACAAATTCTCGGTTGTGACAAAAAAAGGATCCTCCATGCAAGGAACATAGTTGCTGAGCCGCTCCTTTGGGAACCCCATTACGTTAACAATGTGATTAATGAGGGCTTTGAAAAAGCCTTCAAATAGCAAAAATTAATTTTATAAATTAAAAATTTTAAATATTAAAATTATAATTCTTCCAAACCTCGAGAAAAATTGAGCAGTATAACTGTGGAAATGGATCCTTTCAAGGGGTTCCAATGATTGTCCACCGGAAATAGCACAAAATCCGGGGTAAAATTAGATGTTATCGACGAATACGGTATTCCTTAAAATTTACGATACTCATATATTATATTTTATACTTTGTGATTTTTGTGGTGGTAAAGCATTGTAATCCCTTTCAAGGACCCATTTACGAAGTTACAATGCTAGATTTTACTAAAGGTATGCAGAAATCGTCCTTTTTATGATGTTAAGTTAAGGATCTCCCTGCATCATCCTTAATCACAATGAAAACCATTTGTGGTTTTCTAGGGGAAAGAGCCGCTTAAAGTACGACTAGTGGCGAGGAGTAAATGATCGATTATCGATATTTTCCCATTTGAAGCTATGGTAAAGAATCGAGCACTAAGGTGTTCGATGCGGAAACCCTGTCTATAGATCCTTTTTCATATACTGAAATGACAGATCAATCGATATATCGCAAAGCACGCTACTGAGTGCGACCATGACGATAAGTCTCGTGCTCATTTAGCTAAATCTCTCACGCTTTCCTCTAAAGGGCGCTTTGAGTTCCGTTCATGATTATACACATATTTAAAGAATTTAAGGTAAATACTAATTTTATCTTACATTATGCTACTTCATGGACTCATTTAGCAGCTACGCCATTCCATATATCGCGATAAAATAGGAGAAATATATTGGCCCGTTTGAATTTCGATTAGATTTACCAAGCTCTGAAAGCGTGGTCAAATTAAAACGGCCAATCGGAGCGTTGAAATATCCGAGATTGAGGTTATGTTTTGTTTTCGATTGAACCATCAAATACATCGATCTATCGAATGACGTAGACACTGAATCAGTCCATTGCACCAAGAATCTGTCAAAATACGATTTTATGAGACCTGCTAAACGACTTGGTACGACACCTGTTCATCCGCTGTCGGGAGATTTAGCCGCACATCCGACAACATTCGATTCGAGATTCTGCCTTCCGGCTCTACTAGTTCGGACGGCTCTTTGGTGATTGGATAACTGATTGTTGCGTAACAAGCCGCATGCGTGCGTATTTTTCTCTCTTTCTGGATATCGAGCCGTGCAGCGCCGCACGGTGGATCGAGTCAATAGGAGAGGTCGGACAAAATTTGGAAACTTTAAACGCTTATAACTCCGTTTATACGGAACTTTCGGGTTCTGAAAGTGGTTCCACTGGTTTCCTCGTGAAATTTTCTTCTCGAACCACCCCTTAAACTTTAAAATGTGACGAGATTAACATCAAAATTCAGTTTTAGTCAAAAATTTCATGTCCGACCTCTCTGATCGACTCGATCCACTGTGCGCGGCGCCGCCACCGCGCACCGTCGCGACGCCGTCTATGAGAAGTCATACTCGTACAGTCCGAGAAAAGAGAGAGAGAGAAAAAAAACCGCTCAAGACTCGGCGGGTACTTTGGCGCGAAAGTTCAATAAGCTCAAGTTCTGTGGAGCAGAATTCCACGCATCTAGAGGCGGAAGTTTATGAGCGTGTTAACTAGCGGTCCAAATTGAGTCAGTGTTACGTCCTAATGGGAGACATTATTTCAGCTCCGATAAGCCGAGAAACATCCTACGACTCTTATCACCCACGGAGGATGTTTTATGGATTTTGAACAGTTCCGGACACTGATCGGACCCACGGCGTGGCGTGTTTTGCGATATATCGATTGATCTGCCATTTAAAACTATGGAAAAGGATCGGTAAACTAAATGTTTGCAACAAACACCTTAATAATCGATTTTTAACATAGTTTCAAGTGGGGAACACTTATAATCGATCGTTCACGTTCCGCCACCGGGTTGGACCGCGCTTAGTAGAAATGAACCAAGCCACATCAGCTATTGCCAAATTTAACTGGGCAATCCAATTTTTAACGAAAGAACGCTTGTGCGGATTCCTTTGAAAATTTTTAAGAGTTTGCTTTAAGCCATGCAGAAAATTCATTGAAATTTGCGCGAAAATTTATACAACCATTTTCATGTAAAAAATATGCTTGTCCAATTAAATTTGGCAATAGCTGATGTGACTTGGTTCCTTCCTGCTTAACGCGGACACTGATTGTGCAACTGAAAAAGGGTTCTTTTGTGACGGTATGTATCGTAAAATAATCAATGGAGAGTTATGAGTCATTTGCAATAAGGGTCCTTAAGCTAAGTAGCACATGTTGCAATGAATTGCAGTTTAGGTAGTAAAATGAATACTGCTGCGGTGGTATGATGTGTGTGTTGCTGTATGTATTGATTGATGACCTATCATTTTTGTGCATCCGTGATAATTTTGCAGGCAATCAATGAAATTTACAAGAACCAAAAGAATATTGACCGAAGATAAGACTTTATCGTTGACTTTCTTTGCGGTAACCTTGGACATAGGCAGGGGTGAATATTTGTAACCTAATTGAGATTCTATGGGAGCGTTACGGAAAACAACTTGTATCTTCGCCTTTTCTTAAATTTACAGTAATTTTTTTCTCCGTTTTATTTATGTCTCGTTTTTAATTGTTTCAGTGACTGATGCGAGCGGTCGTTACAATTCGCAATTTTTCTTCGGCAACGATTTTTGGTTGGGATCTCACAGTCTCTGCAATGAACTGCAAAATACTCGCACCAACAAGATTGTGCCTCCATTCAAGGCAGAATTTCATGTTGCAAAACTTCTTGTCAAAATGCCGGACCAACTTACTCCTGCTGTAAGTATTTCTTTTCTTCATCAATCTTCAGTTGTGTCAGCTTCCAATTAATTATCAGATTTCATTGGGGTAATAATTTTCAGTATATAAAAGTAGAGAGAAAAAAGAAGGAAAATAATATGTACTTATAGCAATTCAATGATCACTGAAAGGCTTTATTCTGTATCCAATTTTTTTCTCTTATTTTCATAAGTTTTACACTTGTAAACTGTCCCTCAAAACAATTCTGATGTTTTTCAAAGGACGAAAATTCAATTGAAACTGGTGCTTTGAAGCCATTCATAGCAATTCTATAGAAACTGAAGAAAAAATTGAACGGTACTTATTATTATTACAGTGATATTTCCTCTTAAGTCTTGCGTCATTTTGATCTCCACTGAACGATCGTTAAAATTTGCCGTGGCCTAGAGACATCAGTTTATGAGAAGGATAAAACAATGTTGCTTCGAGAATTATCCAGTCATCAAACAATTCTAAATCTCGCACTTCTACCGTTATAAATTAGGTCAACCGCTTGAGTTGTTAGACTGTTCACTTATTTTGAGAGACACCAGCAGCGTGGCGTGCTTTGCGATGTATCGATTGATCTGCCATTTCAACCTATGGAAAAAGATCGATAGACAGGGTGTTCGCAACGAACACCTATTAATCGATTCTTTACTACACCTTCAAATGGAGAAATATCGATAATCGATCATTCACGCCTCGCCACTCACTTTGAAAAAGTAACTCGAGAGTTGCTCTTTTATTACATACTTGAATTGGATTCGAGGTAAGGTCATTCAACCCCCTCCCTCCCCTATGTTTTAATTGTCTTTAGCTCAATCTTTTCTTGTGATGAGAGTATCTTACTGAAAATATACGAAGTTGCAAGAGAGGATTCAGAAGAACTCGCACAAAAATGCTGAGTTGACCTCCGCCGAAAAAGTATTAACTAAAGAGCGCACGGACACGATCTTTTGCCAGAAATGTCAGCGAGATTCCAACACCTAATGCCGAAAATTCTTCTTAACTAATCGGTCCGAAATAGACGAGTGTCAATTTATTGTGTAGTCCTTTTGAGTTGCACACTCTTGACCATGAAAAGAAAGTATAACAGGACAAATCAGACCGATGAGGAGAAATGTAAAATACCTCGACAAAATTTAGGGGGGTTTTTTGAGGGGAGAAGGTGGGGATTGCCTTTATGTGTCGTTGGAACAACTCAAAATTGATCGCTTGATGAATTTTTAAAATTTTAATTTCATCCAGCATCGGTATTACGCACACACCTGCACTGATACAGTTTTTTTTAGGTACTTTACATTCATGAATACTGTCTCCTTCCAAATTCTTTATCGTCCTGACTTTTCCTCTGGTTCAAGGCCATTGTCCATGAGCCCGACTTGAGATATTACTATAAACCGTCGCAAAAAATGATATACACAAGCATTGAAAGTAGACGCGATAGAAGATAGTCGTTGATCGACTTCGATCCTTTTTAATCATAGATAAGCATTCAAAAATTTCGATCAATCAAAGATAGTCTTTGATTGACTCCGATCCTATTTAATCATAGACAAGCATTGAAAAGTATCGATCGCTCAAAAGTAGGCGTTGATTGACTTCGATCCTATTTAATCATAGACAAGCATTGAAAAGTATCGATCGATCGAAGATAGTCGTTGATCAACTTCGATCCTTTTTAATCATAGACAAGCATTGAAAAGTATCGATCGATCGAAGATAGTCGTTGATCGACTTCGATCCTTTTTAATCATAGACAACCATGGAAAAGTATCGATCAATCAAAAGTAGGCGTTGATCAACTTCGATCCTTTTTAATCATAGATAAGCATTGAAAAGTATCGATCAATCGAAAATAGTCGTTGATCGACTTCGATCCTATTTAATCATAGACAAACATGGAAAAGTATCGATCAATCAAAAATAGTCGTTGATCGACTTTGATCCTTTTAAATCATAGATAACCATGGAAAAGTATCGATCCTGTACTCATAAGACGAAGCGGAGTCGCGTGGCCTTGTCTCGCGGCGGGTCAGCGCACTCGCTTTCGAAACTTGTAATCCTTGGTGCAGCAAGTTTCGACCGCGGTGGATGTGTGTTAATGATCCCAGTGCATCTTTCTGCCGCGCTCAGTAAAACGCCCGTAACTCCGCGGGTAATTTTATTTACATACGAGGTTTTTGATGAGTGAGGCAGCTTTGTTGTTAGCGTCGATTCGGGTTACCGCTCAATTAGATCGAATCGTGTTTTCCATCGGTGCCGCACAATGGAGCGAGTTAGTCGGTGACGTTGAACGCTGTGTGGAAGTTTTAGAGCTAACACAAGGCAGTGGCGATTTTTAAAGTTGGCAACTTTGTTTTCCCTCCATTTAAATCCATTAAAAATATCGATTTTAGGTATGCGTCACCAAGAATCGATTGTTTTACATACATATATATCTGAATGGAATAAAATCAGTGTCGCCAACTTTCAAGAATTATCACTGATGCATGGTGTCCCACATTTTTTCAAGTTGGTAACTTTGTTTCCCCTCCATTTAAATCCATTAGAAATATCGATTTTAGGTGTGCGTCACCAAGAATCGATTGTTTCACATATATTTAAATGGAATAAAATCAGTGTCGCCAACTTTCAAGAATTATCACTGATGCATGGTGTCCCACATTTTTTCAAGTTGGTAACTTTGTTTCCCCTCCATTTAAATCCATTAAAAATATCGATTTTAGGTATGCGTCACCAAGAATCGATTGTTTTACATATATTTAAATGGAATAAAATCAGTGTTGCCAATTTTCAAGAATCGCCGCTATTACAGGGTGTCCCACATTTAAACGATCAGCGGAGGAGCGTTATCAGGGTAAAAATAAGGCACTTTCGGTTTAAGTGCCCTCTGAAGGAGCTACGGCCCCTCCATTTTTCCTGGTAAATCATTATTTTTTCTGAAGTTTGGCGACAGCCATGGACCAAAACTCATGAATAGTGGCTAGTCCCCATAACTATTAGCGCTGAATTTATCAATTGCCTCAATAATATCGATACCTCAAATTGAAGGTGGGTTTCGGATTTTTGAGGATAAAAACATCTGAGTTTTTCCTACTTCCTTTTAACCAGAACCCTCATTTAACTTTAGATATCATTTTTAGAGGCCATGGATGAATTCAGCGCTGAAAAATATGAAGGCTAGCCATTTTTCATAAGTTTTGATCCGTGACCATTGTCAAAATTCAGGAAAGAAGGACGATGTTCCCGAAAAACTGGCTACTTCAGAGAGCACTTTTGAAAAAAGCATTTGTAGAAGAGAATGTCAAATTTTTACTCATAGCTCACGCTCCTGCATTAATATGACCGTTTAACCCTGGGGCACCCTGTATCTTCATCAGCAGAACATGCAGAACTTTGAAAATGGATTCATTGGTGTTCAGGATTAATTTTCTTTCAGAAGCATCCCTGAAAATATAAATTGTGACAAAATTAAGGTAAAAAGCAGTTTTGGTGAAAAATCCAATGTCCGATTTCCACCAATGGCGTGTTCCGCCGTGCGCCGTCTCGGAGAGCCCGAAATCGTTGGCCGGCTTTCAAGATTGAATTGGGTCCGATTATATCTCGAAGACCGCGCACCATTACACTCCAGCGCTAAGGAAAAACCACGTCGGACCTTCCAAATGTTACCGAACATCCACGCATAAAACACTTATTCTGGAGACAACTTGTGTCTATTTTTTCTCGAATTTTCCAGGATCTCCAGATTAAATGGCAAAGAAATTTCTCTTGAAATTTGAGGGGAAAATATTCCAAAAATATCCTGAAAATTCGTTTTTTACCAGAGGAAATTTGACAGCGCCAGGGTGTTCATCTGGCGGTTTTCCTTAGCACAGCAGATGATGTCTGTACACGCTTGACTTCGGTTTCGCCACCATTTCAAGACATATAATCGTCTACCGGTGGCGTGGCGTGCTTTGCGATTTATCGATTGATCTGTCATTTAAACCTATGGCATAGGATCGATAAACAGGGTGTTCGCAACGAGCACCTTAAAAATCGATTCTTTACCATAGCTTCAAATGGGGAAATATCGATAATCGATCATTCACGCTGCGCCACTGTCGTCCATGAGAAAGGGTCTTAACACCCGTGCTATAGAAAAATGACGTTTAAGCTTCGAAAGTTACCACCTAAGGTGACTTGAGCTTAAGGGCTGAAGAACTCAAACTTTAGGTCTGCAATATCACCTTCTCATGAACCATCAAGGCCGCCATAACTCCGAACTTCATATTTATACTAATTTTCCTCGAAATTGAAAAAAAAATTGCGCAACTCCTACATTCGCTGTAGGGTCTGCATCTACTCAAAATCCGACATTTTCTTGTGATATTTATAGAGATGATCGAACAAGGTGCATTGCACTAGCCCGCGACGGAAATGTGAATCCCTAAACAATATCATGAATTATTCTGGAGGCATTTTTAGATGATGGTAGTTTTGCGTCATCAAAACAAAGCGTCTGGCTGGTGATTGCAGCCAGACGTGCGAAAAGATGCCAACTTCCTAAACAAATATTTTCAAGGTCTGCCTCCGACAAGTTAAACTGCCGATAAAATACTAATTGAAAATCAATCGGCATCCGAAGATAGGTTTTGGGCACGACTGAGGCACGGGACTGTTTAACTTAGTTCGCTGATATCGTGAGATAATCTGAACTGCACAGTTGTTGACTATTGTTAGGGTTGGACAAATTGTATGGCAAAATTCAACGAACAAAGCATGCATCTGCCTATATATCGACGGTGAAATTACCAAACCACGTATCTCGTTTGCGGTGTTTAAAAATCTACGCTCGCATTATATTTTTTTGAAGTAGACCAAATCAATATCATTCCTTGAAATTTTCACAGAATTTTCTTCGCACGAAGAGGAAAAATCACAGAAATTCTCAAGACTGGACATTAAGTAGTTTTTCATTTAAAAAATAAAGTATGACAGGAAGTTTGCGACGT